CCCCTCAGTCTTTGCTCTTATATATATTACAAGCTATGAAGCTTCTCAAGTAGCTTCCACAAATTAGAAAGCTTTTCAAGCAACTTCTACAAGTTAGGAAGCTTCTCAAATAGCTTCTGTAAGTTAGAAAGCTTCTCAAGCAGCTTCTACGAGCTTAAAAACTTCTCAAGTAGCTTCTACAAACTACAAAGCTTCTCTAGAACCTTCTAGAATCTTCTTCAACTTCCTAATATATGTCCTTGATACTAGAAGCAAGAAAGGAGTTGACAAGAGTGAAGATGACTTCATTCTTGCTTGTATATATACTATCTAACTAGCAACTATGTGGCAATGTTCTATAGGATCCTTAATATGTGTTGACTTTGCAAGACATATGCCTTAGCTTACAAGGCAAGTTTTCTATGTATGGACCACACAGTTAACTTGTTCTTCAAGCTATCAACATGTGTGGTATATGGCCAACTTTCTGACCATATTTCTAATCTAAAAAGTCAATTAAAGACACCTATAAAGTCAAAGTAGTATCTATGAAGCTTCTAAAAAGATTCTAAAAAAGATATTATAGAATTAACCTACTTTTACCTACTATTATCTAAATCATAGAAGTTATTATTGGTTTACATGTGTATGTCAGTGACAACAAGTTAACTTTGGAAGATATATATCTTAACTTCTAAAGTAAGTTTTATATATATATATTATATAGTTAGCTTTTTTTACAAACTATTAACATGATTAACATGTGATTAACTTGTTGACTAAGTTTTCAACCTATCAATCAACTACAAACACATGTAAAGTCAAAATTGTGTTTGTAAAGCTTTTTAGAAGCTTTTCTAGAAGATATTATAAAATTAATCTATTTTTATTTATTTCTACATAATAATATTGATAATTATTAGAATCAATATATATATCAATGATATATTATTATTTTAGGTGTTTGTTTTATTAGAGAGAAGGAGAGAAGGAAGTTTAGTTTTGGACATTTGTATAAATTAATCCATATATTATTTATTAGAAGGTACAAAGTAGGACCTTATTTTGAGATTTCAAGGTTGTTAATTTGAAGGTTTTATTCTTGAGCGGAGAATGCATGAATAGCTATGAAGTCTTTGTTGATTGCTGAAGATATAAAGATATGTGAGATTTTGGATGGTGTATGATGGAGAGTGATGGTGACTTTTTTTACAAATGTGGAGATTAGCTCTATCATCAATAGTGTATTAAATGATGTTGTGGATCTGATTAAGGAATGTAGTACTTTTTAAGAAGCCATTTCTTTGTACTCATCATGATTGCAATCCAAATCAGATATTCTTTTTAAGTATGAGATTGAACTTGTTGCCTCCTTGAAACAACTTCAAATAAAATTTTATGTCACTGCCATGCTGTTGATTGAGATGAAGATATAGTTAGTTTTTTTTTTTTTTAGAAAAAGAATCTTCTTTATAAGATTCTATTATTATTAATTTCTATTGTAGTTACTAATTTAATAGAATAAAATCATAAAAAACTCTTAAGTTTTGTTAACCTCTGTGTGGCCAAATTTAATTTAATTTAATTTTTTAAAATAAAATTTGAATATCATTTAAATAAAATTTGGATTTTTTCATTGGTTTAAAATATTAATAAATGCTCATGAAAAAATAAAGTTGAATACATCATTTTTAATTTATTAATAAAAAGTAAATTAATAATTAATATTACTTACAATGATAAGAATTTAAAATTTTTTAAATGTCTGTTTATAATAATTTTTTAATAATTTTATCAATATATTATTGAATTCAATTCTATCCATAAATTACTTATAGACAATTGTGAGAGAAAGATTATCCTTCTAAGGCATGTAGAGATATTATATCCCATTGACTTGTAGTTGGTGTAAAAGTACTTCTTTGTTTTTGTTTCTATAATTTTCAATTGTATTGTAGATTGTTGTATTGATGGTTTTGCATGTATGTCACCTTTTATTCTATTTCTTACTCTTTGTGGTCTATTCTTTGAGAAAATCACTTGAAATTTTTTCAATTATATAATTATTGTTGAAAGTTCAATCAATTATTTTCATAGATTCTTTTTGTTGGTGAAGAAATAGAACATCAAAATTTTGATTAATAGCAATATAAAATAGATGTAAACTTTTAGAAGAAAATCAAATTGTAGGTGATATTGGAATAAATTAGTCATAAGTATTTACCAAGTAATATTGATGATGAAAATTACTAATTGATAAAAACATCTTTTCTTCTCAATAAAATTCATATATGATGCTCATATAATAGATCTAATGTCTTTGTCATTGTCCTTGTATAAGAAAAATTGTATTTATCAATTTTTGCTCTTGCTTGTTTATATTTCTCAAGAACAGGATTAAGAGCATGTTAAGATATATGTTTCACAACATTGATAAAGAAACCAATATTGTATTGATAAACAATATGGATTTGTCTTGAACTTTCTTAAGCTTTCAATTCTCTTGTATTTTCAAAAAAAATAAGAGAGAAATTTGAACTTCTATAAGGTCTTTAATAGAGACTTTTAAGTGGGATTTTAATGTTGAAAGTTGATCCTCTATTTGTGATATAGTAATACTTTTGAGGTGAAGTAGATTATTTGCCAAAGTTTTAACAAATCTCTTCTTATGTAATATCTAATTATTCTTTAAGTTCTCAATAATTTCATGAGCAATAATAAGAATGTGTTTCTTATAAAGATTAGTCCACTCTTAATCAAAAATCTCTATAGAATATGCACTAATCACAATGGTCCAATTTACAAAGAATGAAGACCATCCTATCTTTTTTTTGTTTGAAAAGTATTTTTTACAATTTTCTAACATATTCTTTTTGTATATGCCAAATACAAAGTAATATGTTTGAAGTGAAAAATATTAATTAAATAGCATTTATTAATGATAAATTATTTTTAGAACCTATGTAAATGTGTCGAATTTTTCTATATACTTGCTGAAGTTGGATTAACATCTAATAAAAGAAGAGTTTTGTTTCTTTTTGGAAAAAAAAAATATCAATGATAGATGAGGTATTGAAACTTGTTATCCCTATAACATGTAATATTAACATTTTAAATCTATTTTTTTTGTATATGCAATCCACGACAATGGAAAAATGGTACCTTTTTGTAAGTTGAATACATTTAAAATGTACAAAAAATAAGCAAGTAATTTTATCACAATGATAAGAAAAATAGTAATTAGCACCTTATAAAGTTTTTATAATACATATAATAGGTGATTGTCTAGCAAAAGCAATGTGATGTAATTTTTGTTATTCATTATAAACAATTTGAGCAATAACTTTACTATTAATATCACTCTCATATAAGATAAAAATAATATTTTTTGATGGAACATTATCAAACTACAACTGCTTATAGTATATAAAAATTAATTAAAATATATAATATATTTATAAGTCTTGATGTGTATTAGAGTAGTTAATAAGTTAATTTAAAGAAAATTGATGTAAAAAATTTTATTTTGAAGTTTATATATTTTGATTATAGTGTTTAAATTATATAGGATTTAGATATTTAGTATAAAGTTTTAGAAAAGATGAGAGCTCAAAGATAAAGATTCAAACTATTAAGAAGCTTATTTGGGAGATGAAAGCAAGATATGGGTAGTTGAAGGCAAGGAGTGAAGGTCTTCATTCCTATTAGTTAAAGGCCATGCCCAATAGACTTTCAACAAGTTGCTTACAGCCATAATAAGAATTTTAGTGACTTCAAAAGGGGCATTTGAGAATCAAAAGTAAAGATTGTAAGATTTAAGACTTGGGCTACAATTTGTGTAAAAAAATTAGAGAGTTTGGAATTAGGGTGAAGAAGTTATAGCCATTTGAAGTTAAGGTGTCTTTTAAGATATATTGTTGCTCTTATGAGGATACGAGAAGTTATATTGCAGCTTTTGGAGATTGGGAGATGTAGCCTCAAGGATAATTTTAAGATCTATGTCTTTTATAAAATAATTGCTATATTTGAAGGAGTTATAGGGCATCGAAGACAAGACATGTAATTCAAAGGCAATAATTGAGCTATTTTGTTGATAGTAATGGTTGAAGCTATAATTTGAGTTTTTGAATGAATTTTTGGCTCAAAATTTTTAAAAGTGTGAATTATTAGGTTAAGAAGTTATATATCAATTTTTTTGATATTTAAGTACTTAGTTTGTAAGATACAAAGAAAATTGCATGTAAATATATGCAAGTAAGGGTTTAAAGCTATCATTAGGATTTTGGCAATATCTCAAGATTTGAAATAAATTTGCAGTTGAAATTTGTTTTAATAGTTGTTTAAAGTACATCAACACTTCATGTAAAATTTTAGTTTGTTTAGATGGTTTCATTGTAAGATTTGAACTATTGAAGTTTAAGAAAAATTCACCTTAACGATATATAAAGATTTAGAATATTTTTATTACATTTTGGATATTCTTTAATAATTAGAACTTATGTATTGATGTGATTATTCCTTTAGGGACATTTTTATATATAAACTTGGTACTTTCTTATCTTAAGACTCGATTGAGCAATTAGTAACAACCAAAAATCTACTACTTTATTGACGCAACTCATTTTATTCCAAGAATACATGTGGCTAGTAATTGTAAAGTTAGTTCTTTTTTGGTTGGTTATAATCGACGACCAAATTAATAGCCTAAAAGAGAAGAGGTAGCTCCATGGTTATGAAAAGCATTTCAAACAATCAAATGCCATTGAGTACTATTATGCAAATGATGAGCATACAACGCAAATGGACATCTTGTTAGATGACTTGCACTATTTTGTTTATGAGTGATGATTTTGATTACAATAAATCTCTCCTTTCTCACACTTGTAATCAATGTGATTTTTGTCAAAGCATCGTTTGCATACAACATAGCCTTAATTATGTACAAATGCATCAATACTATTAAGATATAAGATATACTTCACTTCTTTATTAAAAATATATACACTAGAATAAGATGATAAAGAAGTGAATTAAGTATATACTTATAAGTACTTATAAGACACATACTTATAAAACAAGTAGGAAGAAGAATAAAAAGACTTTATTACTAGTTATTGGGAATTATTAAGAACTATTGAAAACTATATTTAGAATGATGATTCTATTTATCCAAATGTAGATTATGGTCTTAATGATGAAAAAGATTTGTACTATTCATGTGCAAAATTGTGATGATAGGTGAATAGCTTTAATAAAAATTTGGATTGCTTTATCATTCCCCTAAAAATAATGTTTTTGTGATGGGTTGTGGGGTGGATGTCAATGGAGGTTGCTTGTGAGAGTTTCACCCTCTCTGCATGCAAGCAACCGCAATTCTACTGTATCATTGCCCCAAGCCTTCACCGAGCAGCATGATCTTCGAGGCGCCTGTACAGACACACAACCAACAACACCAGGCTATGAGATGAAATCTCTAAACCAGTACAAATTTCTAAGTAAAAGTTGTGCAGGAATCACTCACTGATAGCCCTTACGTCCATCATTCCTACAACACACCTGGTAGCGAATTCGTAGAATAGAAACAACAAGCAACAGGATATGGATTGCAGAGAAAAAGCTACTGAAAAACAAACTAACAACCAAACAAGTACCTGAAACCAGGAGTCTGCGACTGGCTCCTTGAGAACCCGGATCCGCTGCACCAAGTTGAGAGGATGCATCCGCTTATCACAAGCAGCTCGCTTCGGATTCACTTCCCTCATGTACACACTTTCCAGTAATCCTTCGGTTTGGTTACTGGGCCCAGTGACGGATTGCATGTAGTATAGAGTGGGCAGAAGGCACAGATCATTGGGGATTTCGCGAACGTTGAGGCGGAACTCCGATCTGTCGCTTCTTCGTTTGATAGTTCGAAACGTGAGCAATGGCGATTCCAGCTCGCGTGGAGGGACAAACCATTTATAGGCTTGCACCACGTAGCCCCAGGAGACGGAGATGGACCAGTTCTGGCCATCCGCGTAACATATTGATTGCTGAAAAAGGCTGCTGGATTCCACCTTGGCTGCTTGCAAAAGATGGTGCAGTGATTTGTGTCGGTTAAAGTTGGGAAATATGGGGTCGATCCAGTCAATGTGGTGGAGGCTCACGAGAGGGGCTTGAGGATGCGCTGCTAAGAGGCCCATTGCGTTCCCTACTATGTCCATCTGTGACCCAATTGGAAATTCTTAGCACTAAATGGTCTCGCATGTGACTGATAACCAATTTGAAACTCCTACGCATGGAGTTCAGAATGACATTGTACACAACTGGGAGTTTTTTACGAACCTGGTGGAAACCGAGTTCGTGGGTGAGAGACACGCCAAGCTCTGACATGCACGCGTACACACGCTCGTCACTTCCCCATAAGCGTGAATATCTCAAAAGACAGGAATCTTGCATCTTGGCAAGTGCCTCGGCCAGGACATAACTAATCGCGAATCCTCCACCTCCAAATGCCATGTTGAAAGAGTGCGAGACATCCTGCGATTGAGACTCGGAATTGCTTCCAATGTACCACATCCTCGTGGGATCATACTTCGCGAGCACTTTCGCCACATTCCCTGGAAAGAAAAACGTGTCGTCGTCTCCCATGATAAACCAGTCTACATCCGGCAGCCCCAACCTGAAAGTCTCGGAAACAATTCTTGCGATTCGAGTGACTGCTAGTTTTCCACGACTGATCGGAAATCTGGAGATGTCTTCTGAGATCCTGAAAGGAGGCGCGTCTTTTTCCCACGTCCCATTTACCTTCTCGTCGAACCACATTATGGCACGCACATTCTTTGCTGAATTATACCAGATCCTGATGTATTCCTTTCTTACAGGCCAATTCCTAGCCGCTCCTGCGATAGCGAAAACTATCCGAGAAAGCTCTGTACCCTTAGGGTTTATCCTAGCCTGGGGAGGCGAGGAACCTAGTTTGTGTTCGGAGGAGATATTGCTGGGGGCGGATTCAGCGATTATGGATGGCAAGGGATTAAAAGACATGCAGTTGTTTCTATTCACAACCATCGACTGCAAGAGATACACTATGGACAACGCGCAGCCGACAACAAGGGCGAAGCTCATCCATGAGTGGCTCTTCTCGAAGAAGCCGAATCCCCATTTAGGAGCCTTCTTTGCAGGATTTGCTTTCTCCAGGGCCATAAGGAGAGCTTCGCCACTTCCTTGTCCTCTCAGGTGTCCTACTTTGTATCCAGAGGCTTGATCTCTACAGGCAAAAAAAAACTTCAACAATTTCAGACAAACCCATCCCGCTTGGTACTGTTGTTGCTTTTTGGTCCAAAGGTTGAGGAGAAGACGTGGATATTTCCTTGCTACTTGAGGAATGGAGATTGGAACATTTTAAAAAAATTTGCAATAAAGACGGCCATTTCCACACTTTCAAGACCAGCGTATGACCTCAAAATCTTACTCATGGTTGCAAGAGACAGGTTCATCCTCGAAGTATGCATGCAAACAAATTTCAGCATGAAGAATTATATGCCAGACCATTAAGACTTAAAACAACTTCAAGAAACTAGAAGGTTACCCGCAGCAGAATTACTAATCGCCATGCTACCGTATCTTATAATCAAGTGAGTCGAATGAAGTACCTACAGTGCTCTACGAGCTTGCAATTCCAAAATATGCCGATTTGCACCAGCAGAGCTTCGATGAGAGTCTTAGTGTACTCTTCTTGTTGGAAACTTTTTTCAGAAGTAAACTAGCACAACCAATAACGCTTCAGTGTTCCTCTTGCCGAAATTCTTATAAACCACAATCGATGTGATAAATCCAGCTACAGCGAGTGCGACAAGAAAAGAACCAAAACGAATTCTTGAGTTTCTTGAAGTAATTGCATCACTCTCCCAAACTGCAAGACAGTGATAAAGTCCTCTATGTACCATAAATTTTCTGGCAACGTCATAAATGTGTCCTAGTCAATCTTTGGCTCTACTCTCCCACACGAAGATCAAAACCTATCGATCGAATTCTCGTTCTAGGACTCTGCCGATGGTAGAGAGGAGTAACTGTTAACCCGACGGACGAACACTTCGGGCCGCTGTCGAGCAGAAATAAGAAATCCTTTCAAATCGGCGCTTTTCTCCAGGAAATCCCCAACGAGATGAAAATACAAATTATTTTCTTATCGACGAAGTGGAATATGATCCTCAACAAAACACGAGATATTGGATACATACTATTCTCAATTTCAGTTGAAAGGTGAGATACAAGACTGGACAATCGTGAACGCATCGAAGAAGGTGCACATGGATAAAAAAAAGTGGCGTTCTGAACATCCTTTACTTCACTTTGCCCATATTCTTATAATATAAGCTCAGCAGACTGCATTCTCCTGCATGCGCTGACTACAGTGAATCACCAGATTTCGGGTCAAGCAATCACTGACGCGTGGCGACGAAGGCTTCTCTAGCCTACGCCGCAGTTTACCAACATGTACGTGCTATTTTGCCAACACAGCAGTTCACCTACTAAAGATCATTCGGCAACTTTGTTTTAATCCTTCCTTTCTAATCTTGCACCCAACAGTCAACATCGCCCCACGCTGACGTCGAAGATTGTGAGGGGACTTGGACTTTTGCTTCACAAAAGCAGGAAAGGCCTCACGCACGCATCGCATCTGGGCCACTTCCTTGACTGCCATGCTTGAAGCTGTAGTAACTGCTCGCGACAATAGATTTAAAACAAGTCTTTCGAGAATATTACACTAAAATGCTTGCAAATTTTCTTAGTTAAGGTCGATTTTTGATTCATTGTGCCTTGAATACTAGTACAGGCGACATATTATAAAGAAAAGGGCGAAGAGGAGATAGACTCTCTTGGTTTGGATGGAAGCAAGCAGTGAAGAGCCCAACTGTTACTCTATTAGCCACGTTAACTTTTGGGTATCGTTTGCTTCCATGAACAGTTTCTGCCAACTGCAAGAATATTCTAATTTCTGCTCCCTACCAGTTGTGGCTCAGAATCGGTGAGCGACAGTGCTAGAGAGGAGGGGCGTTTTAGTGTCGAATATTAATATGATGACGTACAGAAAAATTCATTACAATCTGTTCTGCAGATTACCCCAAAACCCGTTTCTAGTGCTTTCTTTAAGTCGATAATCTTAGGTGTATCGGGGGTGACCGAGTCCGTAACCTCCAACTTTGGGACTATTACATACATATACCATCACTGTTTCTTTTGTAATTTCTTCGAAACTGGGCCCATCGAGAATGTAACACTGTTTATATTAACATATCAGCAAAGGGATATACCCTTTTTTGTTTCCAAAAAAATTATCTGGGCCCACCGGGGTCAAGTCACTTCGGCATAATTTCGACACTTCTCAGAATATACTGCGAAATCTAGGAAGAAGATATGGGTCCGAACTTCAGCAGCATGGGAGAAGTGATCGACGTTCATACTCAGTCCTGCGTCGTTACTTGGCCTCTCGCAACCCTGAATTCATTGAAAAAGTTGATGCTGTGGCTAAGCTTCTGCACAGCTCTTTCGGCGTCGCAGTGGAGCAATGGATTCTCCAACATGATTCTCCCAGCCTCCCCAAGGGAAAAAAAAACAACTTGGAATAGCAGTCACATGTAAATTGATTGAGAAAGATGAATACCTCTTTCTAATAATTATGCAACAAAGAGTTTTTTAAAATGGAATTAATTGGGATTTGTGAAATTAAATCATTCTAATTACCTATATCTAAAAAAAAAATCTTTTGTTTTCAAGATTTATTAAAATGAAAACATTATCTAAAGTATATTCATTAATTACAAATCAATTAAATGAATAAATAAACCACCTTTTTCAAATTTGAATCTTTTAAAATTAGAAAATTAAAAATTCAATCTCAAAGAATCTTTATACTTAAAAACAAGATGAGAAGCCACAATTTGTAGATCCATAAATAGGCTAATTTTTCTTATATGACATGAATAATTTTATTCTTAAGAAGTTGTAGTAGGCAAATCTCAAAAAAGTGGTTTTTACAAGAATTTAAAAACCATGTGAAAATTTGCTTAAATAAAACATTAAAAAATTTAAACCGTTTTTTATATTTGTCACATTTATAAGAATCAAGATACAAGGCAATATATTTAGACTTACAATAATAAAACAATTTGATTTATTTTGTGGCATCTTATCAAGGACATGAACCTCAAAGAACTAAAATATCAATACTCTCTTGTATCACTCAAAAAGACTAAAAAATCACTTATAAATGATATAGTATTAAACTAAAATTGCTATTGCCAAAGACAAGAAGACTAGAAAGTCTTGAAACAAGACTAAAGACTAAAAAGGCATTGACAAGAGTGAAGAAGGCTTCACTCTTGCCTCCATATATATTCTTAACTAAGAGCTATGTGGCAATGTCCTATAAGACCTCTAAAATGTATTGACTTTATAAGACACATATCTTAATATACAAGACAAGTTTTTTATATGTGTACTACATAGTTAGCTTGTTTTGCAAGCTACCAATATGTGGTTAATTTGTTGACCAAGTTTCTAACTTACCAATCAACTACAAATACAATTAAAGTCAAAGTAATTTCTATGAAGCCATTAAGAAGCTTCTCTAGAAAATATTATGAAATAAATTTATTTTTTTTTACTTATATTTAATCATATGGATAAATATTGCAATAAATATGTATGTTTGTGATATTATTCCTTCTTCTAGGAATGAGTTCCATGAGGAGCGGTCATCATGTGTTGAAAAAATCTAAGATGCAATAAATTATATTTACTACATACTTTGATCTTTTTTTTCTTTAAAAATGGTTGATAGGTCCTCTCAACTATAAATACTATTTTATACCAAGGGAGAAAGACCACCCTATTATTTGATTATTATTGAGGCTTTCATAACTCTCTTCAAATAAAACATTTAGAATTCTATCAGGAGTCATTCCTACATCTAATAAAATTTTCAAACATCGACAGTCCTTTTTAAGGTCAAGATACCAAATACGTTGTATTTTGCCATCTATTCAAAAAAAAATATGTTGTTCTTGAAGATCTTCATCTTAATTATATCATCTTAAAGATTTTAACAATCACAATGTCTTCTCCGATAATTCAGCAAGTGATAGCTTTTCTATTGAATCTGCTAGTTGTTGATTTTTTTATCTTCTTAATGTCACAAATATATAAAATTTATAAATAAGAATAAAAAGTAGAATACTATCTTCTCTAAACCTTGTTTCTTTTGAGGCAAAGATTTGTTATTCTTCATCTTAGTTTTCATAGATGTTGTCCATAAAAAGACTCAACTTTCTTTATTGTATTTGTAAGATTCTTTGCTAGCTTCCATATGCATTCACTAATACCATATGTATGCCAATGAACAAGATATTCTAATCTATTTTGGTACTACCTTCAATCTAGGAATTCTTCTACTTCAAACTCTTGATTATTATCAATTTTTATAAGAAAAGGTGTTATAGACATATATATTTACTTCAATAGTTACTTATATATATAGTCTTAAGTTCCCAAAACATCCAAAATATGATTAAAAAAATTCTAAATCCTTATATATCCTTATGGGATATTATTCATGAACTTCAAAAACTCATATCTTCCAATTGGACTATTCAAATACACTCAAATGTTACATGAAGTATTGATGTACTTTTGAACACTATCACAACAAATTTCAACTACAAATTTATTGTAGATCTTAAGATATTGACAAAATCCTAACAGTAGCTTCAAACCCTATTTTTTATACACCTATGTACAATTTTCTTCATATCTCACAAAATAAGCACTTAAATGCCACAAAATTTATATATATAGCTTCTTCATGCAATAATCTACCTTCTTCAAAAGATTTGACTCCAAAATTCATTCAAAAATTCAAGATATGGCTCCAACTATTACTATGAACAAAATCACTTACTTACTGCCTTTGATTTGGATGCATTGACTTCAATCCCCTATAACCTCTTCATCTAAACTTCAAATTTATTAAATAATATAAGAAAGATGTAGTTAAAAAAGTATTCTCTCCAATCCTAGTTGCCAATCTTTCGTTGCTCTTTGTAAACGTATGTTATGCCCCAAAGAGTGATAGTAGGTATGAAATTGACACCTTAACTTTGAGCGCCAATAATTCCTTCATAAAAAACTCCAAATCACATAAAATTTGTATCCAATCTGTATCCAAAAACCTAAACTTGATGATCATAGCCTCCAAAACTCAAATGAATTTAAAAGAGAAACTCTAATCCCTAAGAAGGCCTTGAACAACCTCCTTGAAGTCCAATGGACATGGCCTTTGACTAATAGGAATGAAGATCCCTATTCCTTGCCTTCATCCAACCATGCCTTGCTTTCATCCCTTCTAATAAGCCTCCTATTAGTTAAGAATTTCTTCTTTAAGCTTTAATCTCCTCTAAAGGTTTCGTACTAAATATTTAGGTTTTATAATTTTTTTTTTTTTTTTTGAAATACTATAATTAAAAAAGATAAAAATCAAAATAAAATTTCTTAAATCCACTTTCTTTAAATTAATATATTAACCATTCTAATATACACCAAGACTTATGAATATATTATATGTTCTAATTAATTTTTACATACTATAAGCAATTACAGTATAATAACGTATTAGTAGCTTATAGAACAAGTTAGCTCCATATAGTAGCTTGTGGAACAAGCTAACTATGTGGTGCATACATAGATAATTGGCCTTACAAGTTGAGATACGTGGTTAGCAAAGTCAACATGTTTTGGAGGTCCTATAGGACATCGCCATGTAGCTTCTAATTATAAGTATATAAAGAAGCAAGAGTGAAGCCTTTTTCACTCTTGTCAATGACGTTCTAATCCTTAGTCTTATTTCAAGACTTTCTAGTTTTCTTATTTTTGGCAATAGCCATTCTAATTAATATTACATTAATTTTTGAGTGACTTTCTAGTTCTCTTCAATGACAAAAGAGTGTATCAAGGATTCTCTTTCTTTGAGATTCATGTCCCTGATAGTTTGATAAGAGTGTTAACATACTATTTTTATCTTATTTTAGAAGTGAGTAGATTATCCCACTTTTATTGTTGTATTTTGAAGGTTGTGGATTATCCACCTTTTAAACAAAAAAAATCTTATTTTCTAATTCTGATCTTTTCTTAAAGAGAGTAGATTATCCGTCTTTGTAGAAATTTTTATAAGAGATTGCAGATTATTCTCTTCTAATTTAACTTTTTGGATTTATTTGAGTTACGTATGAAAGAAAAGATTATGGACACTACGTCTCGTAGAAGTGAGAATAGATTTATAACTATT